GCTGCCTTTTGAAATCTTCTATCTTCTGTTCAGCTCTTTAGTATCTTGAATTTTTCCTTGTGCTTTGGCTTCTCTGTGCTCCAGTTCAATATTCAGAGTTTCTTCTGACATCCATTATGATCTTTTCTTCCTTCTCTGTGTTTTATAAATAATCTTTAAATGAGCATGTTACGGTTCTTAACGTCTCTGGAATGTATACCTAGTAGTGGAATTGCTGGATCAAATGGTATTTCTAATTTCAGCTTTTCTTAAAGTGCCAAACAACTTACTTTCTATAGTGGTTTGGAACATTTTACAATCTCACCAGAAGTATATGGAATAAAAATCATACTCTTAATTTTAAGTGGTCAAATCATATCTAGAGAAAACTGCTAAATTACTGCTTTATCTCACTTTAATAATAGTTTGCTCTCTGATATTAATGATACAGTGATGTTTAATAAAATCAGAATTAAACTTCGCAGGGGGCATTAATGGAGTAGAGGTAGTTTATTATATAACCTTAGAAAGGGTTTAAGTAAAAAATAAATGCAAATGTAACCTCTACATAATTTTAACTGATCCAATCCAACAAATTATTTGGTGAAGGAGTTTATTTTATATATTGTATGGATTAGTCCATTTCCATCAAAAAATGTTCTATTTTAAGTATTCATTAAATTAGTAGTATGTTTTAATATAGTGGATTTTGCTTTATAATCAGAAATTTTTTCCAGTTACTTAGCATAGGACAGAAATATTATTGGAATTTTATTTGTATTTAGTATTTTTTATTCCTCATATTTTTCTTTTCATTTTTAAAATTTTTCAGACAAGATCATTTGATGAAGATGCAAAAGAAAGCCGAGCAGCTGCCCTTCGGGCAGCCAACAGATCTGGCACTGGGTTTGGGGAGAGCTACAGCCTGGCAAACCCCTCAATCCGGGCCGGTGAGGATATTCCACAGCCTACAATTTTTAATGGCAAATTAAAAGGTTATCAACTGAAAGGCATGAATTGGTTGGCCAATCTTTATGAACAGGTGAATCTGAACTGCTCCTACTCACTCTCTTTTGGTTGTTAAATGTTTTTCTAAAGTTACTGACTGGCTCAGTAGAATTATAATGAGCAAGATAGTGTTTTGGATTTCATTCTTTATTTTTCACAAGAGATAGATAAATGGCTATATTTATAACCTGGAGAATTGCTTGCTTTTTTTACCTGGAGTAGATTAGCTGAAGAAATACCCCTGGTCTGCTTATCCCATGTATTATGATTAACTGTTGTAGCAATAGAGTTGGCAAAAAGGAGTCATTTAAAACAGTGGATACTAGTGCTCAAATTTGGGTATCTCCAGGTCACTTTTGTTTTAAGCGAGCCTGTCATTTTAGTAGTGCGACATACATTATGGTAGAACGCAGAAGTTGTTGATGTTTGTGTTGATTTTCCTCCTCAGGGTATTAATGGCATTCTTGCTGATGAAATGGGCCTTGGTAAAACAGTACAGAGCATTGCTCTCCTGGCACATCTGGCTGAGGTAGGTAGATACAGTGTCTCATCTTCCTTTCTCTAGATCCTAAAATAATTTTCTATTACTATATGCGTATTTATTTTATTATTCAGATGTTCAACAATTGATTAATGAGAATTATGCACTACAAAGCACTATAGTGCTGGACTGTGGAACATAATTGGACAATAAGATTGATCCTTGACCTCAGGACCTTTACAAGTTCACAGTGCTGTTACACTGTAGTTTTCAACAGTTTAATTCTTTTGGTGGTTTTTTTTTTCTTTTCTTTAACACAAAGAAATTTATTCTTTCACAGTTTGGGAGTCCAAATTTAGGTTGTCAACTTTTTCTATGTCAGTTGTAGAGGAAAGTCCTTGTTTTCCAAGCTCTCCCTTGAAATCTCCATGCATCCTGGCTTTCCTCTGTCACGGAGTTTCTTTTAGCAGTAGCCCATATGTAAAAAGATGGCTTGCAATCCTGACAATTCTTTCTAAGTGGCACTAAGGTGCCTCCTCTCCCAACCCGCCTTAACAGTGTAGTTTTTGCGCTTGTGTACTCTGAATCCCCTTTCTTCATTGCGAACTACCAAATTCAACAGCTACACATTATGTAAATGCCAAGAGCACTGTAGTTTTAGATCAGACAACTTGTTTCTACATTTCAGCTTTTCCCTTCTTATCTGTGTAAACTTAGACTAGTTATGTAACCATACCTTTTTACTCTATAAGGTTTTTTATTTCTGTAAAGTAAAAGTGATATCTGTCTTTTAGGAATTAAGTGAGAAATTATGTGTAAAAGCACTTTGTAAAAAGCAAATGCTCTGTATCAATTAAATAGCAAATTGTTAGATCTAGTTCAGGGAAAATAACATAAGTCAGTGTGTTGTGTTTTATGAAGAATATAAATTAGGATCTGAAAGAGGTCGTGTGAGGGAGAAGTTTCTCAAGATGTGCACAACCACCTTTATTGCTTCTGTTATTAATAAACATAGAAGATTCTTGAATTTGAAAATTTCCCTTGAGTTATAATTTTGAATTAAATATTTTGTTTTCTTTTTTTAAATTATTATTAAATTTTATTAGTTTTAATGAACATTTACAGAGATTTTGGGTTTTCATTCATTCATTGTTGCACTGTTTTCTCTACCCTCCTCCCCAGTTCATTCTTCTTCCCCTCCCCGAATGTCTGTTTAATTGTCCAATTGCCACAGTGCTTGTCAAAGCCAGTTCTGATTAATCTCCTTTGTCAGTGTGTCCTTTGCCATTCCCTATCACTCCTCCCTGAGAGAGACTTCACCCTGATTCATAAGGAAAAGGGGATGGCATATTCTCTTAGCTACTTCCTGCTGAAAAGGGGCACTGTGGGTTTCAGGGTGAAGATCTTCTCTCACTACTCTAAAGGGCCCCTTTGGCAGTAGGAAACACGTAGACTATTATGGAGATTGCTTTTGGAATTTAGATGCACTGTTATGAATTGTGCTTAGCCGTACATGTTCATATCCTTAAAGATATATCATGGAAGTGTTGTAGCCTAGAAGACACAAATTTAACAAGTTAAAAGTACATGAGTCAAAAATTAAAAAGCAATAATATTCTGAGTAGAGGTTCTAATTGTGGCACAAATCAAGTTCCAGAGGGAAGGTGGTTCTTACAACAAACGACCTATAGACTAGCACTTTGTCTGTTATAGTGTAGAGGTTAGGATCCACAAAATGCAGAGGCTCAGCTATGTCATTTATGGTTCTTAAGTCCTGGAGCAAATTCCATCTACCACTGGGTTGTTTTACAACTTGGAAGTTCACATGCAAGGTAGAGGTGAAGTAAGGAACTGCTTATGAAGTTTTCCATTCATTCCAATAACTAGAAATAGTGAGAAGAGTTGGGACCTCGGAAGGCTTTTAGGACGAATTAGTAGGCTCTGTGTCCAGGAGAAAATGAATATACTTACCAGTAAAGTTAATGCTCACCCACAGCTCTTCTGGGAGGATCTAAATCGTTGAAGCGTCTTATTTTGTTTTCTTGCATTTGGCTCACCTACCTTTTTCTGTTGCAGAGAGAGAACATTTGGGGACCTTTCCTAATAATTTCACCTGCTTCTACACTTAACAATTGGCACCAGGAGTTTACTAGATTTGTTCCTAAATTTAAGGTAAAACTAAATCCAACAAAAAGTTCTGTTGCTTTTTTAAAACAAACTTTTTCATTATTTTTTGCTGCCTTACTGATTTAATTAATTGCTTATAGTAGTTTTTAACTACCATGCTATTTCCAATATATGTTGCATGCATTCCCTGTAAACAGTAGGAACAAGAAGAAAGAGAGCATTCTACAACTTTTTATTTACAACTTAGGAAAAACTGATAGGAAGCCAACTGTGACCTGATAACAGTAACTGACTGGGATTGTGGGGACTGTTTTTGTTTGTTTGATTTTTTTCTATATTAACAATTCCATGTTGTTCATTAATCACTGAATGGAGGTTAGGAGGTAGGTCTTTACCTGACTTGTGCTTTGTAAGGAATAGAAATACATGGAACATCTCATTTTGGTAACTTTTATAACTGATTCCATCTTTGTTCTGACTTGAAAATTTAGCAACTGTTACATTGTATCTATAACTTTAAATTTAACTGACTGAATTTCTGCTTATGAGAAGATAGGATTTTTTTTAAAGATAGAATCATTCTAAAGGCACTTTGTTGAGTGTGTTCTCTTGAGTTGGCCATGTGGGTATCAGAGATTACCATCTTATTTTATTTCTTTATGTGTGATGTTGAACAATCAGGAATTTGAAAATAGTTTTAAAAAAATACCCTCGATGAGATGGATTGATTTAGTCACTGAGGCAATGGTGATAGGTATGTCAGACATAAGATTGGCACAGGATAGAGCAGGGTTTAGGATGCTTGTACATAGGGAGTCTGAACAGTCTCAAGCAACTCAGAAGCACGTAACAACAGTAGTAACACCCACGTAAGCTTTCATTTTTTAGTACAAGAGAAAAATGGGCAGTCTTCTCCCTTGACATTTACAGTCTCTGAAAACTGGTTGGAGGAGCAGCCGAGAATGGTTCCAACTTGACTTCATAGAACAAAAAAATCACCCCAAGTTTTTAGTAGTTCTTCCACTGACCAATAGATGGCATTGTGATATTTCTTGTGTCATTACTAGCTATCCTTTGACTTTGTACCTAAGCTTGAAATTGGACATTCACTTGCATGTTGAATTTGCATTTGGTACTTTACTTTAGGGGTAGGGGTCAGTAAACTGTGACCCATTGACCAATTGTGGGAGCCCCCCCTTTTTTTTTTAATCTAATTGTGTTCATTTTTTTCTTTCCCTTGCCCTCTTAACATTCACATCTTTACTGTTGCAGCCCTTTTAGTTTTTGTTGTTTGATGTTTTGTGGGGTTTTTGTTTTTGTTTTTTTTTTTCATAAAAAATAAATTTTTATTTTGTTTGCTTACAAAGTTCATATCCATTGTGTTTCACAGCCCTTTTAGTCTAAGGATGTTTTTTATGTAGGGTGCCAATCTTTATTTTGTTATTCTTTATTTTATCTTATTTTATTATTTTGTGTGTGTACCGTCATTTCAGATATGACTGGTACAGGAGACTGTCCCTCCTTTTCCAGCAGAGGATCTCTTGTATTCAAACTGCATAGCTCTAGGATTGCAGGGCAACTTCTTGCCATGAGGCCACCAGAGCTCCCTTGATGTTTTTTTATGTAGGGCGCCAATATTACAAGTAACATCTCTCCCTTTTTTTAAATTGTATGCTGCACTGCTTTTTTTGCTAAGAGATGACCTTGGGAGTGAGGGAATAAGTTCAGATCTAGGATTAAGCATTTTAGGGTTATAAATCTTAGGGAGTCTTCTGTTCCGTTTGTCTTGCTTTTTAATTAAGAATTTGAATTCTGCATAGTTTTCTCCCATGCTGTCTAGGACCAGTTATGACCCCTGTTAGGTCAGGCTTTGGTAGTAAATGGTCTCAGGGTAGGTAAAATTGTGGTTCCTGAATACTTCTGCTTCTCTGTGATATTGGTTCCCTTCTTAATGTCTTTCTCCTCGCAAGTAGAGACCCATCATTATGTTTTAGATGGCTACTCAGAAACTTTTAAGACCTTATGTCCTATTCAGTTCTTTAGGATTCAGATCATGGTTTTTGTGAACAGTTTTATACTGTTTGAGATTATGGCTCTAAATTTTCAAACCCAGAATATCAAATATTGGAAGGTATTTGGTCATGTCTGGAGAGTATTCATATATTCATATTTGTGTCTTTAATGAATAGATGTGCTCACACCTACATGTTTTCCTAAACCCATTCTACTGTGTTCAGATACTAATTTTTTATTTCATTTGTTCTGTATTTACTATATCCATATAAAAATGATTTTTACATTTTAAATGGTTGGTAAATAAGATGATTTTATGACACATGGTATATGAAATGTAAATGTATTTATAGTGGAGCACAGACATACTCATTTTTAATGTTTTATTTATGGCTTCATTCACACTACAACTGTAGAGTTGAGTAGTTGTAACAGAGACCATATGTCCCGCAGAACCTAAAGCACTTAGTATATGGCCATTTACAGAAAGAATTTGCTAACCACTGCTTTAGTTGATTAATTGGTATGATCATTGTTTCTTTAAAACAAAGACCAAAGATGTTGCCATCAAGTCAGTTCTAACCCATGGAGACCTTTATATGTTACAAGCTTGAAAAGATCCCTAGGGTTTTTTTGACTGTAATCTTTATAGAAGTAGATCACAAGGCCTTTTTTTTTTGCAGTGCCACTAATCATTTCTCAGCTGATTGCAAGCTGCTTGTAGCACCTTGATGTGTTTTTACTTTGCTGTGAAATCCAGATAGATGTAAAATCTGCTCAGGTTTATAGTATAGCTGTATTAAAAGATACTTAGATCTGTGATGATGACAGTATAAAAGCTTTATTTATTTGTCAGATAACACTGGGTAACACTCTGTGGTTCTGCATATGATCTGTGACTTCTGCTTTTCCTCTGATAGTAATGTACTGCTTTATTCCTAGAGTTATTATACCCTCTTCTTTTTGTTGATCTTGCCATGTGGATAATTAATTTTATTGGTCTTTTCTTTTCACACTCAGTCTTTCTCTATTATTTATTATTCTTAAGGAATATATTTTGCCTTTTTGTGTGTTGCCTAGTGGTAAGGAGTTGACCTGCTAACCCAGAGTTGAGCAGTTCAGATCTACCAGCTGCTTCACAGAAAAACAGATGGGCAGTCTTCTGTATAATTTACAATCTCTGAAAATCCACTGGAGTGTCATCCATGAATCTGTTCCAGTTCGAGGGCAATGCGTTTTTGAGTCTTAACATAATTAATGATGTGTTAATTTCTACTTATTTCGCTTGCTCCGTTTTCCTTTCTCTCCCTTGTATTCTTTTGAATTGATTATATATTTTATTCCACTTTTCTTCTTATCTTGCCAATTATGTAATCTTTTATTATTCTTTCATAATTACTCAGTAGATGGATTACATTGTGAATTCTTCCAAAATAGTATAAATTAATATTGCTAATAGTTTGCAAAAAAATACAAGGAGCATGTTAGTACACTTTAACTACGACTCACTTACAGGCTACCTAATTTTGTTTTGTTTCTTTTTTAACATCTTAGCCTCCATCTTGTTCCTTTTTGTTTTTCAAGGTGCTGTTAATTCCAGTTCATAGCAACACATGTACAACAGCACAAAAGACTGCCAAGTGCTGTGCCATTTCCAGAAGCACTGCTGTGCTTGAGTCTATACTCATGTATTCACTCTTTTTATTCATCTAGATTTCTTACTGCATATTTCATGTTCCATCTACTGTTGTTTCCATACTTCTAGGAGAACTATTTGTATTTCCTTTAGTATAGTTGTGTTTATAATGATTTTTCCAGGTTTTTGTCCTTATGACATAGTAGATGGCATCTAAAAGCAAGTGAGCAAAAAGTGTTGATGCCTTTAGGACCTTTACTCTGTAGTCACTTTCCTTTTATTTTACCAGAATCTCACCACATTTAAAGTATAATATTTGTTCTGGGGACCCTGTATATAACTTTGAATAACTTTGTTCAAACTTTCCATGAGAACTTTAGAAATGAAAATATACCTTCAAGGAAACATGTATTAAACACTACACTTATCTGATTTTCTTTCTTCTCTGTAACTTAGCTTTATAATTTTTCACTGAATAGTTCTCTACTGCCTTTAAAAAGGGGGGGGTGTATTTGTTTTCTTTTAAAACAAGGGGTGTGTGTGTGTGGTCAAAAAGACATTGGTCAAACCACCTAGACTATCACTGGCTTTGTAAGTTACATGTTTTTTGTGGTTTTTTTTTTTGTTGTTTGTTTGTTTTTCTTTTTTTTGTAAGTTACATGTTTATAGTGATATTTTGAAGATTATGGGTAGAAAATGCTCTGTATTTTGACTTTTTCACTAGGTGCTTCCATATTGGGGAAATCCTCATGATAGAAAAGTTATCCGGAGATTCTGGAGTCAGGTAACTTGTAGCTTACTTGCATACCCGTGCATTCACTTAGTGTTTGTCCAGTTAATTTGAATAATTTCTAACACATGAAGTGCTTTTAAATATAGGCTTACCTTGGAAGTTAATATCAAAGGCTAAATTCTAGACCACTACACTAAAATATGTATCACAATAAAGCAAGTTACACTTTTTTTTCCTCAGTGTGTAGAAAAATTAGTTTCATTATACTGGAATCTATACAAAAGCATGCAATAGCATTATGAAAAAGTTTTAAATATTGCAAGAATTATCAAAATGTGTTACATACACAAAGTACTTGCTGTTGGGAAAATGGTGCCAATAGACTTTTGTGACACAAAGCTGTGACTGGTCTTCCATTTTTTCTTTTTAAAAAAAAACAACCAAAATTAGTATCTTTAAAACACAATAAAATGAGGGGAGCTCTGGTGGCCTAGTGGCAAGAAGCTGCACTGCAATCCCAGAGGCGCACGGTTTGAATCCACCAGATGCTCTGCCGAGGAAGGAAGGGCAGTCTCCTCCTGTACCAGTCAGATCTGATTTGATAGTACACACACACATAATAAAAAATAAAAATTAAGAAATATAATAATTAAAAAAAACACAATAAAATGAAGCAAAATAAAATATGTCTGCATTGTGTCTTTCTGTATACTGAGAAAGATTATCATCCCAGACCTCCCACTCCTAATTCTTTGAGAGCTCTAGTGTCCTAGTCACACTGCAAATTCAAAGCCTCATGGTTCAAATCTACCACTTGCTCCTTGGGAGAAGGATGGGCAATCTCCTCCTGTGTGATTTACTGCCTCTGAAAACTTGCTGGAGTATCACCTGAGTCAGTTCAAACGCTACTGCGCACAACTGATAGGCTTTCAACACTAAACTAAACTTGAAATACAGGCTTAAGTTTCTTTAATTAGCTGTGGAATAGTTCTTAGCATAGTTTTGTGACTTAGATGACCACTTTAAGAACAGTTATGTTTCAGTTTGTTGTAAATCTCCTTACCATGGGGGGGAAAAAACCTAGTTGTGGACCTATTGGAACTTTGGCCTTGGAAAATACAGAAAATATACATTCATTTACTATGAATTTATCAGGTGCCTTCTCCCCTCCCCTTTTACATTTACAGAAGACCCTGTATACTCAGGATGCTCCCTTCCATGTGGTTATCACCAGCTACCAGTTGGTGGTGCAAGATGTAAAGTATTTCCAGCGAGTTAAGTGGCAGTACATGGTCCTTGATGAGGCCCAGGCGCTCAAGAGTAGTTCCAGGTATCATGAATTACAGTAATAATCAAAATTCATAGGTCGAGCAAAAAACTAATAAAATACATATATATGTATACGGATTAGAGAGATTTTTAAATATGGCACATATTTTAAACATAGTGTTCTGAGTAAATGTAACTGAACAGAAGATAAAAATTTCCTTTTACATTTTTCATAGGGCATTAATATTAATGCTGAGAATATAAGGATATTTTTTTTACTTATACCATCCTACTCAGTAATTATTAAAGTTTTAACTTGTCATTTTTTCTTCTGAGAAAATTTCTATAGGGGACGAGATCTTTGTCTTCCCTCTGAGAGATTATTTCTTAAATATGAGATCTAGATGGGAAGTAGAAAGTTATACTTAATTAGATGTCAATTAGAGATTGTTTTATGTTGGTTGTAGTTACATCTCTAAGAATGCTTTAAGTGGAAGGTTTCTTTCAAACGCTAATGCAGTATTTTTAGTTTGTTATTAATTTCTCTAAGTATTGATTATTAGTGGGATAGTGAACAGAAACATTTGACTGCTAATTTAGTATTTTGTAATTTATTCTGTTGCACAGTGTTCGTTGGAAAATCCTCTTGCAATTCCAGTGTCGGAATCGGCTTTTGCTAACTGGGACACCCATTCAGAACACTATGGCAGAGGTACACACTAGTCAAGGCTTGAGGTTATGTCTTTAGTAAATAGTATGGTTCTGTGACAAGGAATTGGGGGGGGTGTTGTTTTTGTCTTTGTTTTTAAGGAATTATTCATCCTATGCCCCATTGGAGTGCTTTACAAGTTATAGTCTTCTCATAAAGAAGAATTTGAATACAGCTTGCCTTAAATGATTTTTAGACATCAGTCCTGTTTTCTTATTCTCTTGCATAATAGCCATGAATTATTTCATTTCCCTGTGTTTGTGTAATAAACAGTGACCATATCAAGAAAGGCTAACCATTAGAATATTAAAACTGAAAGGTAGTGTTCCTTAATAGTGAGAATATTTTGTTAACAAACTTTTCTTGTAAAGAATCATAAGGTAAAATAATTTAGGCTTTGAAAACCTAAAATACAGTCTTTCACAAGTATGCAGTTTTGCATTGTAATGTAAAAACAGCCATAATTAATATATTTACTTTTTCTCTCACATGTATATTTCAAGACAATCAACATACACACACACATATGTGCATGCACGTATGTACATCTGTCTACACCTTCATATATTCCTTTGCACTGTCTTTTTGTGGCTATATAACTTTTATTTTACCTTTGTTTCTAGCTCTGGGCTCTGTTACATTTCATTATGCCAACATTATTTGATTCACATGAGGAATTTAATGAATGGTTTTCCAAAGACATTGAGAGCCATGCCGAAAACAAATCTGCTATTGATGAGAGTGAGTATTGTTAGAATCTTTCTTAATTTTTTCTTGCCTGCTAGTAAAAGCAACTAAATAATTATATATTTTCTTCTGTGGGAAGACATGTTTTCCCAGTACACCTAGAAGAGCAGCCCTGGTGATGCAGAGTTTAAACACTCACTGGTAAACTGAAAAGTCAACAGTTCTTTTCTGTCTTATAGGGTCTCTCTAGGAGTTTGAATCAATGATAATGGGATTGGGTGTTTTTGTCTTTTTATCATTATTATTATTAATTATTATTTGTGTGTGTACTGTCAAGTTGGATCGCACTAGTACAAGAGGAGATTGTCCTTCCTTCTCCAGCAGAGCATCTGGTGGATTTGAACTGCACGCCTCTGTGATTGCCGTGCAACTTCTTGCCACCAGAGCGTCCTTATTTGTCTTTTTAGACATAAAAGAACCAAAAGGAAATACGTTTTCTTTCTCTTATAAAACTCTTTTATA